AGAAACATCTCGGGGGTAAACGGGGGAGGAGGTGGCAAATGTGGTTCATGGGGAGGTTCATTGTTGTTGCCGTGGTTCCCACCATCACCACCACCACCGGGTCCCTTTTGACCGCTAGCACCGGGTCGGGCTGGCTTCATACGTGGTTCGGCGAGTGTTTGTCATCCAGATATTTCAAAGAACAAGTAACGATTGAGTGAAGTCAGAATGATTGCGTAGTGAAGAAAAATTATGCCGTCTTGATTTTACTTCGAGAGAATAAATTCATGCAATAAAACAGAGGCACAACAATCTCATCCCAATTAAGACAACAACACTTAATCGAATTACTTCAATGGCAAACATCGCATCCATACAGTCACATTGCCAGCATACATACACTGGACTTTTTATGCGTTCAGATATCGCATTCGAAAATCAAGTTCCAACCACATGCCAAGTCTCATACGTTCGAAACAACATACGATAGGTTACATGCCAACAAAAGAAAGGTCTTCGCGACAGGACCTAGATACTAGCGCAAGGCAACTAGCCTATTCCTCGGGGCCATCGTCCGGGATCGGAGACGTCACCATCGCCTCGTGTGAAACTACAGTGCTCGTTCGGTTGTCGCTGCGTCGATGTCCATGCCAACAAGCGTTTTTGGAGCATATGGGCCAACCCCATGGTAGAGCGCGTGAAACTCTTCGTGCAGGTTGCCGTTGTATTCCTCTAGCTCATCGACTCTCTGCAGCAGAAGGTTTCTTGCGTTCCAGGCTTCATTCCTCTCCTGAACCAATTGTCCAATCATGCGGTCTGCATTGTTGTTGGCTTGAGTCAACGTATGCACTCGCTGCATGGCTCTATCACCTCTCTCAACCGCCTGATCTCGCTGTAAGTTCATATCAGCCAACTGCTCCTGCAAGCTAGCTATAGCTCGTGCCTGTCTCTTCTTCTGCTTCTTCCCTTTGAGCTTATCCTCACTACGCAAGCCAGTCAAAGTCCAGTAGGTACTCTCGAGACCCTCATATGCTCTAATGGCGGCGAACATAGCACTCATCGCCTGGTTGTCGCTAGCCTGTCCTTCAGCTGGACCTCTGACCAATGCACTTCCTTGAGGCTGAACCCAAATGGCATCACGAGGATCATCCCTAGGAAAAGTACCAGCTAGAGCTGCTGCAAGCTCACTAGGAAATCTGCTCATAATGTCCCTGATGACACGGAAGGCTGCTCCCTCTGCACCCTCAGCTGGAGTACGACCCTCAAACTCCAAATGCCAACCATCCCAATCTGGAGCATCACCGAGAGCAGGAACCGTGATCTCCACCACTGCAAGTCCATCATCTGCCAACTGGCTCTCATTCCAAGAGTACACCGGCTCTTGACCCTCTGGGTACCCCACATCATGGAGCACTCTCCAAAGCAAGGTCGGCATGCCAAACTCGCTCAAGAAGGTGTCCGTGGTGCGGTGCTCCCTCGTGGCCCAGCAGGCGTCGAGGTGCTCTTCCTCCGTGGACTTACTGGCGGTCTCGCTTCGTCTGCGGGCCATCCAGAGCAAAAAGTTCTTTCATTACCTCGGGAAACATATTTTAGTTGATACTACTTTTATCAAAATGAGAGAACCAATTTATAAGGGAGGAATGCATGAGATGAATGAAATGCACAAGTAACATGATGTATGTACGCATCGACGCTCTCACAAACTTAGGAATAAATAATTTCTAACGACGAATTCGGTGGCATACAACGATCTCTCAATACGTAGCTAATACGTTCTACACGATAAGCGTTGTTATGTACTGCAGAAAGATTCATTTCAGCCCAGCCTCCCATGAATGCATAATAGCAATGAAGTTCTATCTACACGCTCTACACGAATCCCCGATACGTGTACAACGGTAGTAACTACCGAACCATCGTCCTATTGACGGCATCGCCTCCACGCACGGAAGACCCATACATGAGATACCTTTGTAAAACATCGTAGAACATGTAATTACTCCAAATCATATAAGCATTCACCCTAGATCGGCGGTGTATCCGATCATGCTCTCACAACTCACATTTACCGAGGCGTAGAGGCAAATGATCCATTCATTACCACTCAAACAAGTGGCACTCATACAATAGCACGCCGTATGAGCGACGAAAGATAAATATGATGCAAGAACCCCAAGTCAGTACTTAATTAAGCCACCTAAAGTCCTTAACTGGGCATAAGGAATATGATCACTGGCACACTTTAGATTTTGAAAATCACGCTTTCCAAATGCCTTTTGTTTTAAATACACTTGTGAACAATGAACACGCTAAACCATGCTCGATGCCACCGTAATGTAGAACCGACCAATTATACGAAATTAAGTAAAAAATCATCCACCGAGCGCATTTATTGAGCAAACTTAAGCCCGTATAACCCGGTAGTCCGTGAAATCACGAAGGATTTCAAACCAACTCGTGTCCCAGCCATGATCGTAATAAGTTTAGCGGTCACCAATCACATATTACATAAAAGTTTCCATAACAGATACATCAGAGTTTAAACATAGTTATTACAAAACAAGTTCGAATAAAAGTAGTGGAAGTCATGTGTTTAAAACCACACACACTCACACGTAGTTCAAATATAGTGCCAGCTGATGATCATCTCCAACAAAAGCATTAGACGAGACGTAAGGAATGACCATGCCCATGGTCCTAAGCATCACCCATCGCAGGATACAGGCAGTTGATACAGTAGCCATAGTACATCTGCCCATCTGCAACAAGTGGGAATAAAACCCTGAGTACGAGAATGTACTCAGCCAGACTTACCCGACATAACCGAAAATAAATGACACCAAGGATTATGAAGGGCTTTATAGTAGGGTAGCTGACTCATTTGCAAAAAGAAGCATTTTTAGCATTTCAAGAACCTTTCTAAAAGCATTATTGCCAAGTTAATTATTATTAACCTGTCAACTAGATTTGCACCTATACTAGAGTAAACATGTGATTAAGCAATTAATGATAACCACTGATCATTAAACAACTTCCATACTGTCATATTCACTATAACTGTCCAAGTGTTCCATAAACATTTACTACGATGAAGTAACTCAAGTCAAGTGCTCACTATCCAGGAGCGATGGCGATTCGAATCGATTCCTAACCAGCTGGTGATTTATTCCTTACACAAATCTCACTCACCCGCTAAAGTGAGATATTGATCACCGAGTCAACTTTCCAGGTATCTTGAGTTTGCCAGAACCACATGTACCGGGGCCGACCGATCGCACTTTGGTCTTATCATCCCGCCCGTGTCCTACCACACCGCTTCGCACAAGGTCGTCATGGGCAATCTACTCGGCCGAAAAATCTCCCAGCTTTCAGCGGTCGGAAGGTACTTTATCCGGCCAGCTAAATGTAAGGCATGCGTTCAACATGACTCGAGGCCCAACAACGGTCGGTCCTTAATCGACACGACGGAAACACTACAGTCAAAACCCCGCAAGTCTCCGCCTTGGTCTCAACTTCATTTAACACTTAGTTATACCATGACTTCATAGCCATCCAAACAGATCCGGTAACCACCTATAGCTCGCAGTGACAGAAAATCACCCGACTTCTACCGGTCTAAGCCACCTAAGCATTGACTCGATCATGCGGATACCGTGGTAACAAGGATATAGTATAACAAAGGTAAACAAGGTATAATGCAAGAACGGTTGCAAACAACTCCCGAACATAATGCATCAATTTCAAGTAAAGCTTTTAACGAAATCATTGCAAACCGGAGAAAGATGCTCGGGGCTTGCCTCTCTCGGAGCTCGGACGGTGATCGGGGCACTCCGGAAGTTCCTCAACGTCCTCCTCTTCGACTTCCTAAGCACTTCCTGCTCGCTGCACTCGAATCGCTCCTCGGACTCCTCGAATGACGACTGGGTTCTCGGTTTGCGATCCCGTATGATGCAATGCGTGTAAGTGCCTATGCAATCGGTGCATCGAAGGAGATGAATGCAATGGATATGTTGAAAGGCAAGGTAGTCAACATCATCCAAGAAACTATGCTACAAGCACATGTCATCTATCTGCATTCTCTTCTACTACCAATATGTTAAGTCAACATATTTTATTAAATGCTTCAAAGATACACCAAAGCTTTACTAATTTCTTAATCACACTTAAGGCAACACTTGCTTAAACCCTAATTAATAATAGGTTTGAATAGCAACATATATTTCTGATGCTCCTAAAATCTGAGAAAATTACAGTAGCATAATACTACCCTAAACAGACTACCATAAAATTTTCATGGCATTTGGATAAGTAAACTATCCTACACAAAAAATGACAAGCTATAGCCTAAAAATGAGCATGAAATTACTTTGTACTATGAAAAGTGTCAAACAACAGAATTAATATTTTCCTAGGTTCTTCATGGTATATAATGACTGTCCAAAAATTTTTCACATGCATGTTTTGTACAAATTTTGCTCTCTAGCAAAAATAACAAAAATCAGCCATTTAAGGTACTTGAACTACACCTCAAAATTTTTCCACAGTACATGCATGAAATATATTTTTCCTAGGAAGTACATTACATAGTAAGATTAACAACCTTGCAATCATATTTTTCTGAAGACTATAGATTTTTCTACACATTTTCAAGTTATCAGCAATATTTATGATTAAATAAAATCCTACAGAAAAGTATATCAAAAATGACATGCACTATTTTTCCCAAGTAGATCTGGTGATAAGGAACCTAGAAAAATTTGTTTCAACAAATTTGGAGCAACTTTGAGTATCCAAATATTTTACAAACCATTTCGCTTTCAAATAATAACGAATAAATTGAAAACAAATCATTTAAATGCTACCGGGCCGCCCACGAAATGAACTGCCCACGGCCACAGCCCTGCCCGCTGCCCAAGCCAGCGAGGGAAGGAAGACTGCCCACACACGTCACCCCCCTACCGGCTTTTACCGGCACCGAGGCAGAGCGCTTTGTTGGAGCGCTTGCACAAGCTGGCGGGACAATGCTTCGGCTGGCGACGGCGGCCGTCTCCGCCGCCCACGGCAGCGGCAAAATGAAAGCGAGCGCAGCAGGAGACGGCGAGGAGAAGGCGAGCTCGGTAGGGTAGCTAGGCGAGGCTGGAGGGGAGAAGGAAGACGGGTTCCATGGCGGCCGAGCACAATGCGCCCATGGTGGCCGGCCGCGCGAGACGCGGGGAGGCCCGACCTGTGCTCGGAAGGCGGAGTAAGCTCGAGCGCGACCTCAAGGAAGGCGAGGCGGAGCTGCGGGCGTGATTTAATTGGAGAATGGCGCGGTGGTGCGGGAGTTTGACGCCATGAGCTCGAGCGCCATGGGCGAGCTCGGGGCTCATCATGCTCTGGCGGAAGGAAAGGCAGTGCGGGAGGAGTGAAGGCAGAGCGCGTGCGACTGGCTAGCTTTAACATTTTCTCTTTCCTATTTTTTCTCTGTTTTAAATTAGGCCTCAAGTCCATTGCAAGTAAAATATGCCAATGGGGAGTTGGAAAGATTGGGTATGAGGCTCTTCAAAATTGTATCATCATCTATAATGTATTTGCAGGTGGATTTTGGCAAGGTTTTTAGAATTTTCACTGACATGTGTTATACTGTTACTTCCAGAGCACAAGCTCTTTGTTGGGATGCTCCCAAAAAATGTAACAGATGCTGAAATGACGGATTTATTTTCAAAATATGGGAATATCAAGGATTTGCAGATTTTGAGAGGTTCTCAACAAACGAGCAAACGTAAATTATTTTGGTTCAGATTAGGAATGGAGCACACTTCTATCTTCTTCTTTCTAACTTGCTTATCAACTGTGGATGTTGCAGCTGGCTGTGCCTTTCTAAAATATGAAACAAAAGAGCAAGCTGTGGCTGCTATAGAAGCTCTAAATGGAACGTACAAAATAGAGGTTCGTAGAAATAAAGGATTCCAAAAGAATCTTTTTCTTAACGATGAAATTATTTCACTTCTCCTGAAAACATATCACATACCCCTACTACTTTTAACAGGATTATGTAGCTCAGTGATTTATGAACTCAATATCATTGCATTTCAAAAGTTTCAAACAAAAGATGCTCAGTATGATTGCAATTTGCAAACATCACCTATCAGCCACGCATTGGATGGTACTTCCAATACATATCATTGTGATGGTACTGAGCTATTTTCCACAACATTGTAGCACGAATTTCTGAAATCTCTGCTTTCATTAATTGAACATAATCTGATAGATTCATGTGAAGTAAAATCATTCAAACACAAGACTCCAGTTTTGAGAGTAGTTGCTTGCCATTATTTCTTAAATAGAAGATATTTCCTTTATGACATTTCGTCTTATATTTGATGATATCAATGCATGTAATAAATCATTGATGCCTTGGCCTTGTATGATATTGATTACTTCAGTTCTTCTGAAATTTCATGACCAGTTACACAAATCTAACATACCCTGGTCATTTTTGTTAGGGTTCAAGTGTTCCTTTGGTTGTCAAATGGGCTGACACTGAAAAGGAAAGGCAGGCTCGAAAAGCACAAAAAGCTCAATTCCAGTCTTCTAACATGTTGAATGCGAATGCTATGCAGCAGAATTCAGTGTTCGGAGCTTTACAGATGGGATATGTGCCGCAGTACAATGGATTTGGCTACCAGGTATGTTATGGTATAAAAAATTAGGTTAGGTTAGGTGTTGGCGCACCATACAGTAAACAGCTTGAGACAGCTCTGTGATGACCTTTCATGTTGTACTATCATGCTTGGCAGAAATGTGCTAGCAGTATTTAACCAAAAAAAACATAAGGAATGCTATAAAAACTTGATTACTTGGATTTAAAGTATTCATTGATCAATAAACTATGTGCAGCATGGCAATGCCGTAGAATGCCACACTAACAGTATCTGTATTTAACTTGTTTTGCATTGTGGGTAATAATTGTACTTACATTGCTCTATGCAGCCTCAAGGAACGTACAGGCTTATGCAATACCCTCCTCATCTCCTGTGCAAAATCAAGCTGCCTTCCAGAATATGGTTCAGCCTGTTAATCAAGGAAGCTCGATCCGTGGAGCTAATTCTGAACTTTCCCCTAATTCAGTTCCTAGATCATTTAATTCTGCACAGTTGGGAAGCCCCTATTCGCCTTTGCCTGGTTTGCAGTATCCTGGAGTGTATCCTGGTGGTACTATTAATCATCGACCCTTTTCAAATTCTCACAGTTCAATCAAAGTTCAAAATTCAAATGCTAATTCGCCGTCTTCAAGTCCCAGCAGCAATCCTAGCTCCCAGATAGAGGGTTTGTTTCTATACTCACGAAATTAGTTTTTTTATTGTCTTTTAAGTTAGTTTTGTTTCTAACAAGAAATCTCAAGTTTGTATTTAGAGGCATCATGTTCAAAGATTTCTCTTAAAAATGACTGTCATGTGTACAGGTCCTCCTGGAGCTAATTTGTTCATATATCACATTCCGCAAGAATTTGGTGACCATGATCCTCGCAAATGCATTTCATAGTTTTGGTAGAGTACTGAGCGCTAAAGTTTTTGTAGACAAGGCAACTGGTGTTCGTAAATGCTTTGGTAATTGATTCTTCCTAGTTTCAATTTCAATGACTGGACATCTTACAAAACTTTTCCTGGATAAGTTTTGTAAGCTATGATTCTCCAGCTTCTGCACAAGCAGCCATTAGTGTGATGAATGGATACCAAGTAGGTGGTAAAAAGTTGAAAGTACAACTCAAGAGAGACAACAGCAAGCACAGTAAACCTTGCTGACAAAGCGAATTCATTGTATGCTCACACGATCAGGAAAATCGGTACATATGTGTCACAATTGATCATTACATTGTTTCCTCTGGCCTCCCACCAATGTGTCGCCGGTGGTGGCTCTTGTATCTTTGTTCAATTCACATTCTTGAAAACTGTCACATTGTGTATTTTCGTCGCAGCATAGATGTAGCATTTGAACCATCAGATCTTGTACATCAGACATTAATTATTGTTTTTTTAATTCTCATGAATCATTTTGTTGTAAATAATGTTTTAGGAATTTCCGGTATGACATGTTTCAGTGTCTGTATCATCCTTGACCTAATCTAACTGGTAGCCATAACTAAGTGGATAAGAAAAGAGCGACGTTGTTTTAGGAATAATGTTCTGCTGTAGCATGCTAATTTGTTTTTTGGGCTTTTCTTATTACTGGATGTTTACTGACCCTTGTTAGAAATCTTGCTAAAAATGGCATTTTGATAACTGCATGGTTACTGTATTTGGTTTGTCGGACGGACGCGCAGGTCCAGACTTCCGCGCAGCCTGCCCTCGTCCACCTTTGCCGCGCCCCACTCGCATACTTCGCCCGCTGATCGCCCTTGACCCCCTTCTCTCTCTGCGTGGGTAGCACTCAGCTAGATGAGCAGCCGAGGATGAGCATGCCCTGACCGCAGCAGCCCCGTTCGCTGGCGCCATGCGCGCCCAGTCCGCTCGCCTCGGCTTGCCCTTGGCCGTACAACATAAAACACTTGCAACATGAAAAACATTTGAATGAAACAAACGTCTCAAAGTAGATGAAACATTTAGAACACGCACTTGCAACATGTGTGTGAAACACACGAAACATCCCGATTTGCAACTTGCAACATGAAACCACTCGCTGCAATATAAGATTAAAACAGTTGAAACATTTGGAACATACTGTTACAACATATGCAACATTCAGATAAAAAAAGATTGCAACAGGCGTCTCGAAACAAATAAAACATTTTGAACAAACGCTTACAATATGCCTCTAAAGCACTTGCAATATATGTAAGATGTGCAATATCCCCCATTTACTTTTGCAACATTAAGATGAAATAATTGCAACATACATCTCAAACATGGGTGCCCTTGACTCGGCCGGGGAAGACCAGAGGCGCCACGGCATGTGTGCCCAAGCGGCTATGGCGGGGTCAGCGGCGCGCCCAGCAGCGATGGGCGACGGACGAACAACGAGGGAGCAAGCGACGCAGATGACTGCTATGCAGGTGAGCGACGCAGGGAGCGAGGACACGTGGCGCTGCCGACGATGGGGGGAAGGGCACGACGCGGCAGCCCGACAAGCACACGTTGGGGAAAGGGGCGGACGGATGAGCAGCCACGTCGAGCGACCAGGTGGCTGCCACGCAGGTGAGCGGCGCAGGGAGCGAGGGCGCGCGGCGCGACCGGCAATAGGAAAAGGAAACCACGTGACAACCCGACGAGCACGCGCTGGAGAGGGGGCACACGGATAAGCAGCCACACTACTTTGGAGCCGTGCGGATAAGCACAAAGGAGTCTAAGTGTGGACTCAGGAGGGACGGACGGATAAGCACAGGAAATGAGAATTTGTTTGTTTGTTTGTTTGTTTTTGGTTTGGAGCCCGCTCCTGCGAGCTGCGTCCAGACGCAGTCACGGACAAAAGCCCACAGGAAGTATTTCCGTTCCGGTTAAGCCAAATTTGGCCAAAACTCGCAAAATATAACCTATATTGGTTTGAGACCATAATTTGCTACGGCCTGCAAAATATTCTGCTACAACAAGTTCTGTGAACCAAAACTTAGCACCTCTATTGGTTTTGAGTTGTCTATACTGGATCCTCGTGTGGGGCCAATGCAAAAACCTGAGACATGGTATACCGCAGGCAATTCTCAACTCTGCACGCCCTTGCGTAAAAACAGTATAAGCGTCTATACTGGATCCCACCATCTGTGTGTTTTGAGTACCGTTACACAGCAAACACCGGGCAAACACATGTGCAACACACAAGGGGGCCTGCCGCATCTGGCTTTGACCACTATACACACAGATGCATGCCCATCTGCTGCTTCATCCCCGACCCATATTCACACGCTCACCGTGTATGTTACACAGCATCACCTGCAGCTAGGGTGTATTATTCTGCGCCTACGATCGCCTCTGAACGGCAAAATCAGTTTCGACGCCAAGCATCCATATATGTAAGGTTTGATTAAGACTGGATTGCCCGATTCTAGTTCCATTCATTTGATTAAGACTGGATTGCCCGATTCTAGTTCCATTCAATATGTGATGTAGAAATTGCTGCTAATGGAGTTATTATAGTAAACAGTACAAAAAGTTCATCAACCTTCAAAATTGGAATAGAGCTGCCACCCTACAATTCTCTTCTTCTTCTTTAAAAAAAAGGAGGTTACCAACCCCACTACTCATTTAGTTTGGAATCTTAGCACCCGGAATCTTTATGAATGAGTATTGCTTTGAAATAACAGCACCTGTTAGAAGTGGAAATGTAGATAAGGAATGACAAAGGGAGAAGCAACTCACATGAGTGAGGACCAGGAGCCACAGCTGGCATTTGAGCATGATGATGTCCATGAACGAGAGGAACTCCATGCAAATGGGGCTTCGCAAGTGCAGGGGAAGGAGCAGGAGCGCTGTTGTCTCTCCTAGGATTATTAGGAGAGTGATGAACAGAAGGTGATGGGCTAATGGATGGTGGCGGCACTGCATGAGGTATGGTTGCAGGTGAAGCATAATGATGGTTACGGGAGCTTTATTCTTTGGCTTGGTGGTATATCCATATGGACAAGATGGGGATGGAGATCTATATTTGGGCTGTTGGACAGGAGAATGTACAGGAGCAGGAGATGGAGCAAAATGCTTCTTTTCCTCATGATTCTTGTTATGGTGGTGGTGTTCATGGTGATGATGGTGGTGGTGGTGGTGGTGGTGGTGGTGCTGAGGATGATCTTGATAAGGCATAGGTGCTGGACTAGGTGTGTCAGTACCACCCTCACTGTGCAAGGAATGTCTAAGATAAGACGAAAGGCTTATCTGCTTTACTCTGCCAAACACAGTGTGATTCAGTCCCAAGTTTCCTGACGATGAATTAGCAATTGTTTGGGCCAACTGCTTCATCCTTGGAAGGGATGGCTGGTGATTCCCAACTTCAAGAACAATGGAGGCCTGAACAATTGTTGGAGGAGCAACTGTTGAACCTTTTGAATTCATCATTTTGATGTAGAGGTTCTGCAAAGTACAGGAAAGGACTACTCAGTTGAGTAAATATGAACAAAATCTAATAGAGACATTGCCCTGGTATGGCTTTGTAGAACCATCCCAAATTTTGTAATGTGCAACAAATAAGAGTCATTACTGATTAGTCTTAAGGCAAGTAGTGGATGTGAAAACCAAAAAAAGAACAATGATCTTATTTCATTGTTCTCACTAATGCACTACACCACCACCTTGTAAGTTGTAATACATATAGCAATATCTTATTTCATTGTTCTTTTTTAAAGTGTTTGAGGATTCCTTTTTTAAATGGCTACCAGTATCAGTTCAGTCACCAGCATAGTGGTGGCTATATGGATACGCAGCACAAAAGCATCCTATCCAGCAATTATACGATAATAATTATTGGCACCCATTCTTTGTATTTAACCTAGCACACTCATTATTGCAGGAGTACAAAGTTAGACAACCATCTTGCAGTCCATATAATCTATGCTTGCATGTTCTCCTGTGATTTTATATATGCACAAGTGCTCCCACTTAGACCACAAATTCGCAGTGGTTTATATTATCAAGGGCACACCCGATTCACGATAGGTGGTTTATATTATCAAGGGCACACCCGATTCACGATAGGTAGTTTATATTATCAAGGGCACTGAGACAAATTGTACTCCATCAATGCCCAGTTACTCATAAGTACAAGGAACATGCATGCTTGCTTATGACAATTGCATGCCCATCAGGTCATGAAATTGATTGTATGGTTCACTTAAGATCAGGAATCCAATAAAAAACATGTAACAAGGAGCAAGCATTGAAACCATTAAGATACAGTCCTATAACAATTTTGGTGGCAAAAAAGACATACAATACCCATAATATATTATTGAGATAACCGTGATAATAGTAAAAATGCTAAAACAAAAAATTTAACTTAACAGACACTAACCTCAGGGATTGAGACGTAGTCCAGACTTCATTTGGTCTTTCAACTCATTTGTTTTCTCCTGTACTTTGTAGATTGGGAAGTTCAGAGTGAAGTTGAAAGATGCATAGGGTTTCTGAAGAAGAAATGCAGCCTGTGGAGGGATAATGGTAATTCCTCCAGGGAACTTAAACACCTCAAAATTTGAAGAGGTCCCAAATAGAGACTCTGTCAGGTGGAGTGTCGACTGCTCCACAACCAAGTACATAAAAGAAGATCTAAGAATGCTCAACCAAGTTGGTGATATAGTTGAGTGTACTGGATAAGGTACAATGGCGAAGATCACATAAGTTCAGTTCGATGCGCCTAATGGTTGTAGAAAATTTATGGTCACCTGTACAATAATTGGGGGATCAGCATGATATAAAATTGGACACACTGTGTTACAAGAAGAATATAAATAGTGTACATCATTGTGCCTTACAGTTGAATTAGGAATGCCAACTTCCTCATAGATGTCGAATTCAAGCTTAGATGTACTTTCACTCAACTCAGAAACTGTCTTCTGTAGCATAAAGCTTGCCACAATATCAGCTGCAAAAAGAGCATGACTTCAACAGCGAAAAAATGCTATCATTTGTCAACTGATGAAGCTACAAGATACGTGTTCTTCAGACAGGTACATCTGGTATCTATATGGATCTAATTTTAGAAGTTATATTTGAGAATAGAGATAGTTCTCTCTGTGGATTAGACACTCGTGTGGCCCTGATGCACGGTTCAACCTCTAAAAGTGCATAACAAAAATGTTATGATGTTGGCACAATGTGCATCTAAGCATTTGCAAAATTTCAAATCAAAACTCAATGTACACATCGAATAACAAAAATTTGAATTCAACATCTAAATAATAATAGATTGCTTATAAGAAGAGTAACGGTTGCCCATTACTATTCACAACTGTTTTATCTTTTTTTGTCACTAGGTGTGTAGGTTGAGTTTCAATTTCAACTTTTGCAGAGGAATGATGCACATCATCACAATGTCATAAAATTTTGGTTGGATTTTTTTTAGAGATGCAATTGTGCATCAGGATCGCATGAGTGCATGAACCTCTGGGAGCACTAGGTATGTTCTTGTCTGTTTTGCATATCGCAGGTGCAGCCCACACTAAAGGTGAAACTAGAATGGTATCTTGCACCATGAAACTAATAAATGCTTGAAAACAATTCATAGCTTTGTATACATGCGGAAGATTGAAGTCTTGTCGACATTGATGATTGTTAGTGGTCATCCAAGCCAAGCATCAAAACCACCACCCTATGTGTGATTGATAGTTAATAGTTTGTCGGTGTGACTTAATGTAGGCGAAGCGCATCTTGCCGTGCAGAAGCAAGAAGGATTCTCAAGAATGTTGTATTACCTTGATGTAATATTCTTTGAGTTTTAATAAATCTTCCTTTATCGGAAAAATAAACATGTAATAAAATAGTAAATATCAGCTTTCCTATTTTATGATCAAAGCGATTTTGATGGGTCCCATACATAGGGAAGCAGGTTTTGATTTCTCTGGATCATTGGTTCAACATAAATTAATCCAGATGAACCAATCCAGACTTCAAAGCAAGAAAATGGGATACAAATCATCTATGGTGCCCCATAACTACCCATTGTGTACACTCATTTGCATCCCTAGGGTCTGTTTGGATCCAGGAAGCTAACAATTAGCCTCTATTTTTAGATGCCAAATAGGAGGGTTAAACATGGGCCAATTTTCGGCTAATAAGAGCTAATGTTGGTGGTTAACCATTAGCCTATGTTATCACAAGATGGGTTAGTTTTTAGCCCTGGGATCCAAACAGGGCCCTACTCATACAACATCCAATATCACAGATAAGAATAAGGACCCTGTTGTTTGTTGACCCTGGGTCTTGGGTTCAATAGTTATAAACTGCAGGGACAATCTAATACAGAAAGATTACCAATATGGTGTTTCTGAAACTGGTAATTTACTTTCATAAGGCAGTTCTATGTAGAATTTGCATATACTTACACCCTGAACTCATATTCCTCTAAGCATTAGTCACTCCCAAGAGTACATGCCACTTATCATCATCGGATTATCAGATGGATATGATTTTTCTCTTACAAACCATTTTTTCAACAACTTGTAACATCACCATTTGAAGTGCTGTGCTACCCTATCAAGAAAGTACTTGTCAGTGTCTTCTAACATCAGAATTCCACATGCAATGACTTGTCTATCGCGGCAAATTTTGTCAAGACCTTCTGACATCACCATTAAACAAAGTATTGTGTTCTCTACCACGGCATTTTTTGTTGGGGCCTTCAAACATCACCATTCAACAAAGTATTGTGTTCTCTATCTCGGCAATTTTTGTCGGATCTTCTAACACCACCATTCAATAGAAGTGTTACCTTTTCTATTTTGGAAGTTTTCGCCAAAGAATTGCGCGGCAAGTTTTGTCAGGATCTTGTGAGTCCAACATATCCAAAAGAAAATTTAAAGAAGTACTATTTCTATCAGTGGCACCGACCAAGAAATTGATTTATTTTTCCCGAGCACACAAGAAAAAATTGCTCCACTGAATTCTAGTAGAGGAAAAAAAGAGTAAAATGCATTAGAGGTCTATTAGGTCCATCAACTCTCAAAATGTATTTTTTTGTCCCTAAAATTTTTAAGTGATTCACTAGAGGTCCATACCCCGTCGTTTATGTTTGTATTTTGCATAAACCTCCCCCTTTGTTTTTCTTTCACACGCTTACCTCTCTTCGTCTTCTGAGCGCGCGGAAAAATTAATCATTCAGTTTGACGACAGTTAAACCCTTGAAGTTCCTTTTAGTTCACAACAGCCAACCGCACAAAAATCTCCAAACAGCACCATGTGAGGAAATGCTAACATGGTAAAAGCGAATATGGAAACACAGCACGCATCCAGGGATATCCACTAGCTACAATCATAAGTTGGCCAAGTATTTCCTACCCTGTAAGCTATATATCAAGAACAGCACTTGAACAGCTATACTGCACCTAATCTAACAGCACACACCGAATCGAACCACGTGAATCCATTTGAGTTGGAAGCTGAAATATTGAGCCAGAATCTAGCAGGCACGCACTAACTAATAACAGCGTATCTACGAAAGTGACAAAAGAGCACGGGAAGTGGCCAAGTTGCTCCCGAAAGGAAACAGAAAACGCAACTGAAAAATTCGTCGAATTCGGTCAAGTTGACATCTAAAGAAGCGAACTTTGCAGCTTCGCCAATCTGCAAGAACCATTGAGCTGAAAACTAAGCAAGTCAATCCCTAAGTCACTGCCCGTGGAGTCCGTACGACGAAAGAGATTTTAAAATCACGGCGGAAGATTGAAGCGAGGCGCGCGAGATCCCGCAATGCGGGCTGACCTGCGAACGCGGCGTCCGGCTCGGAGCGAAGCGGACATCACTGCGCTGTGCGCTGCGCACTTCTTTGTCCTCGCAAGCCGCGAGCGCCGTCTGCCCCAACTCGACCATCTCACCATCCCACATTCCCACCCGTGCGCGTCGCACTTCCCACCACATGCTAATTCAATAATTATGTCACTGTAGCACTGGTATGCTATTTATTAATACTAATCGTTATTAGGCAAATCTGCCCCCCTACATTTTAGTTCACCCTCCGCCACTGCTTCTATCTTTGACACTCTTATCATGCTTCATAGTTAAAGGCCCTAAGATACAATATGATGAGGGTGATAGCGAGGACGAGGAGCCCTCGAAGGAGGAACTCATGGAGCTATTGCAAGAGACTCATCCTCTC